ATATTTACAGGAATTATATAAACTGAATTGCAATGTTGAAATTATTTGTTTAAATTATATTAGAACTTTAGTCAGATCAAAATAAAATCTGAACTATTTTCGACGTACAAAAAAAAAATTTTTGAAAAAAAGTTGAAACAAATTTTTTTTTCCAAAATCAATTATTTTGTTAAAACAAGCAGAAAGTTCATTTAAATCGGATGCTTAGTTCTCTCAAAAACGGCCATTTTTTGCACATTTAGCTCTGTATCTTCGAAATGGCTGGGTCTGCCTTTGTCAAAAACTAGTAACCACTTCTTCAATCATTACTAGTTGAATGTTTTTTTAGATCATTCAAATCAGATGCTCCGTTCTCTCAAAAACTCGATTTCTATTTTCTGCACTCTTTGCTCTTTATCTCCGTAACTGCTGGACCTGCCTTTGCCAAAAACTAATCAGCACATTTTCCTATCAATAGGAATCGAATGTTTTTAAACCATTCAAATCAGTTGATCCGTGCGCCCGAAAACGTGAACAAAAAAATGCGGACACACAAAACACACACACACACTCACACACACACACACACACACAAACACACACACACACAATACACACATCCATTTTTTCTGAGGTATGCCAGAATGTTCAGAAACTTTCAAAACGTCGAGAAATGCAAAAATTTTCAAATTCGATTTTTGGACGATTACAATAACTTACCGAAGTTAATAAAGAAACCATTTTTCTTCAAAAAGTCTTTTTTTTTCTAAAAAGGAAATTTTTGTCAAAAATTCAAAGTTTCTCAAAAATCTAATTTTTTCAAAGTAAATTTTTTTCAAGAATGTTAATCTTTTTTTAAAAAAATATTTTTTGGTACGGGAAGTTCCAGCAATTTGCCTTATGGCACAATGCCATGCACCATTTTTTTTTTTTTTTTTTTCAAACTACATTCCAATGTAAGCGACACAAATTCATGTTACACAATATGGGAAACTGTTATAAATATAAAAATGATTGATTTTTCTTGATGTCAAGTCGACTGAAAACTAAAGAAGGAATACGATCTGGGCCATTTTTTTCTCTTGTGTCCGCCTTCGAAATATAAAGTTGATAATTAATTTTTTAAATATAATTCATGAAAAGTCTTGTAACTATATTTTAATATTGCTTTTCTATTTTCAGCATGAGTGTTAAAAATAATGGTAAACTATTTTTTATTTATCTTATAAATTTTGGATCATATTACCTTGTGCAATAACTTGGTTTCTCATAACTATAAACACCACACACACTAACATAACATTTAGTTTATTCATGATTAGTGCTTAACATCACTCATAAAAAATCTTATGATTATGATACAGGTTTTTTAATAATAAAAGAACAAGGAACTAAATTCACGATTGTTGTATTAACATGTTGTACGTTTGACTATATAATTGTTACTGACATAAGATTTCTTTTAATACAGTGAGGTATTCCCCTTTGACTCGATAAAATTCAAATTACGTATACAAGTCTGTGAGAGCAAATCGAGAAGATCCACCGGACTGTTGAATACAGATGATAGATGAATATCAGCAATAACATCATAAAGTAAATATTTGAATTTATTAACATCTTGATCTTGAGATCTATATAGCATATACTCTATATACTCTAATAGGTATTATGGGAAAAATATGTTTTTACAGCAACAAAATTAACTATGTGTAAGTGACATTTTGCCTCGAGCAAAATTATATTGGTAAGTAGAATGAACTTTCTATGAATACTAATCACCGCAATTTTCAATTATGTTTCAATTAGTGATTTAAAAAAATATATATACGTCACTCAATAAGTCCGTAGGATAACACATAGATGATGTCGATATGTAATCATCCATATGATTTGTAGGAAGCAACATTTTTAAGAATATATATGTCAAGATTTCATGACAATCCGACGATTTACAAGTTACAAAGGTTCAAATGACACTACTTTTGAGTTTTTCGAAACCATGTATTCAAGGCAATTGTAAAAATAATAATGCTGCCAAAGTATCGCTTTATTCGCATACTAACGTTATTATTATTATGATAACGTTGAATATAAAATTTAATGAAGAAACTAAATGTTTCATAGATATCATATAAACATATTATTAATTATAGATGTTAATCAGTGTTATCTGGACTTTGCCCAATCGAATTAAATGTTGGAGAAATGGTTTGCCGATTTTAATCATGGCCAAACAGGCTGACGATGGTGAATGCTCTGGATTGCTAATTGAGGTGCTTACACCGAAAATATAAGAAAAGTCCACCGAAACTTTTTGTAAAACCAAAAAGTTAAAATGCCTGAGATAGCTAACATCCTGAAGATATTAACAAAATATGTTGGACATATCGTCCGCAAATATTTGAATAGGAAAAAGCTCTGTGCTAAATGAGCGCCGCGCGAACTCACATTTGACCGTTAGCATAACGAGTTGATGATTCATAATAGTATTTTGATTTTTTGCATCAATATGTTATCATGGATATTTCGCCACTACATTTGCGAGTCAAATAAACAGTAATCCGAGAGGGCCAGGCACGATGGAGAGAAAAAATGCAGACAATCAGCAGGCAAGATCATGGTGTCAGTTTTTTAAATAAAACTTCTTTAAGCGCGACTAGTATAAATGCAACGGAAGTCCGTTACGCCCGTACTGTTCGTCATGCGCTCTTAATGAGATCATTTCTATACGGGTCGATTGTGATTAGTCGTCGTGTATGTGAATAGAGATCTGTCGTTGTATGCGTACCGGCATCAACGTTTTATGCTTACCGATATCGACAAGGAAATCAGCATAGATAAATAAACATTTTGAAGTTACAAAGTTACAATAAACATTTTGAAGTAGTACAAGTCTTGATTTAATAAAAAATGTCTGAATCAGAAGAATATTGTACCCTGTTTCTTGAAAATGAAGTTTCTAGAGAAATCAAACTGAATAATCTCAAAATGGAAACGAAATAATAGATTTGAATTGAAAATTATATAATTATAGAATGATTGGAGTTATAGTAGAGGGAAGTCCCATAGTGGCGGACACCTAAGGTTATTTATAAATAAATCAAGAAATATTTTACGAAATATTTATCAAATTATGATTTATATTAGATAACAAAGGTAGAAATCAAACTAAATTAACAAAACCGCAATCTTTGCTAAAAAATAATTAATACTATCATTCAAACTTTGGTATAAAAAAATATGATTTTGAACAGTGGCACCTAGTACTGGACATTTCAAATGTAAATGCATACGGAAATGCATACGGAATAAATTACGTAATTTCTCACAGGAAATTTCAATATGTTTACTGTCTGGCACTAAGGGACGACTTAGTGTCCGGTGCTAAGGGACAGACATTTTCGTTCATTTGGTGGTACCTACTGAAGTTGGTTAAAAGATCTAATAATATTCTGCCATTTTACGGATAATAATCAAGTACAATTTTTATTTTTGCACTCAAATGCAAATGCATAATATTATTATTAATATATTAATATTAACATAATATTACTTTCATTGATATTTAGGTGACGCCGTGATTTTGCGCCAAAAACAGGAAAGGATTGCTATCGCCGTGGCCGTGTGCGTCACAGGCAAGGCTTGGCGCGTGATCCTATACCTGTGTGCCCCCCATGACCCTTTCACTTGTATTTTGAATCAAAAAGATTTATATTCGCTTAAATAATATGTGTTAAATAGAGTGTCCGGTGCTTGGCGCCGTCCGGCATTACGGGACTTCTCCTATGTTCAAACGCAGAAACAAAGTAACTGCCAAAAAATGTATTATTTTTTGTAGTTCTATCAACTGACGTATAATTATTTCTGATTCTATTCGTTTAGACCTGTGGAATTTTATTTTTATTAATGTACAATTCATTTTATGAAACTTACAAAAAATGTGATATAAATTTAAAAACAACACTAATGAATATAAAATTAGTTAATTTAAATATAGCGCTAAAATATAAACTCAAAATGAGAATAAATAATAACTTATAAAATAATGATTTTGAATTGCGTGAAAACTTACTCATATCACTTTTATTTTATGTATATATATATATGGAACGTATATTTTGAAATGCACCTCTAGTTTAATGTAGTGCAGGACGAGGCACAAAGGTCCAATCTGACTTTGAGTAATTATATTGTGAAAACCCAACCAATTATTATTATATTACACAAAAAACAAATCAAACAAACAAAACAAATAAAATAAAAATAAAAACAAATAATACAAAAATTATCTGACTAGGTTCAGTAAGACTTCCAGCTAATTCATTATTATAGAAATATTTTTTGTTTGTTCAAGCAGGTCCAATATTTAATTTTTATTTAATTTTTAGAAGGTTTTTATGAAATATTAGCCACATTGTTCCAATGCAAAATATAAAAATATAAATTTTATGGGTACTTTTTTTAGAGAGATATCACTGTATATTACCTTGATCTGGTCATTCGTCAGACATATTTAACAGCAGAGTATGAATAACTATTTATTCAATTTATTTTTTGTAAAATAGCTTTTTCCAAAATACTTTAGATTTTTTATTACTGTTTTTATTATTTATACCTTTTCAGGTTTAAAGGTTCAGTTGGCCCTCTTTACCCCACCTACGTGTAAGATTTTATAGAGGTAATGTAAAAAGCTGGTAATGTAAAACATTTCCAAGTATTTTTTCAACTTAATCCTTTATGCACGATTTTTTTGTTTTACATTAAAATCAGTAATTATAAACCTATATAAGCAAATAAGAAACAGAAAAAATCTTAAACAATTTTTGTGGTAGTAAGTAATTATTTCAAGGCTTTCAAGTCACAGCGATATATTATATATTTTATAAAATAGTAAAAGCATTGCCAAACTTCATATAATATGCCCAGATTTTCAATTGAGAGATTTATAATTTTCTCGATAAGAGAGATTAGACTTACACCACTTTCAAAATAGACGATCCATATATATGTAATTAATTTCAGGAGATGTTCGCTCTTATCCAGGGCAAAAAGGAAGTAACACGGGTGTAAACACCAGGATATCCTGGTTCTGCGCATCGGAAACCATAGGCAACCACGCCAACGATATGATATGTAATCACTGCATCTCCAGTACTAATATCGGTCTGAAATAAATTGTATTGCATTATATAAGTCAATAAAAAATATAAAATCTAAAATATTTAAATAAGTGGTGCATGGCATTTTGTCTTGGCAAAATCCTGGAACTTTCTGTATCGTAATTAAACATTCGAGGAATAAAAATAACCAATAATTTATAAAAATTAATCAATAAAAAATTAATCAATAAATGATTAATAAAAATTCCTTTCAACATTTTTAAATAAATATAGACCCTATCATGCTTATCATTGGGCACAGATTGCAATTTATTTACGTTTGCAAAAAATGTAAACATACATAAAATAATCTAGTCCAGTCCGATTAGAATAAAGACATCAGAAAATTCCATTATTAAAACTTCTTTTTCAGTATCGTAGTTTTTTTCGGGTCTGCTAATTCATGAAACATTTAACAAAAGACGGAGCAGCACATTTCTGTATAGTACGATAGTAGTAGCAGGATAGTAGTTATGAGAGATAAACAAATATTTTAATATCTTTTATCATATTGAAATACGCCTGTTACTACTTACCCCTACTAAAACAAGCTTTTCGCTTCAATATCGAAATTAATATTAATATAAAAAGTGTCTGGTAAAAACTTTAGAATTTATAATCAGAATCAAATGTTACACGCTCGTAACACACAGAAGAATATTTTAATTTTTATTATGATTATAGCAAATTATAAATATAACAAATAGAAATAAGAAATACATATCTGAATTTATTACAAAATTATATATTAGAAGCTTTATAGGTATATTACCTTTTTCAACATAAGCGGACCACCACTGTCTCCAGAACAAACATCTTTCTCGCCGAGAGGATAACCAGCACAAATTGTTCTCTCATCAATAATCTATTATGAATAAAAAAATTAGTTAATAATGTAAATATAGCTCAAAATTTATTACACCCAAATTGCGTTAGACCAGTGATTCCCAAACTCATTTCATCTACAGCCCCCTTTATGATCTAACGGTTAGACCATAGTTAGACCCCTAAATTGTGATAATGTGAATATTTTCTTCACAACATGCTCAAATGAATAATTTTAGATACTTAACAACTGTTCGATTTAATTTGTTTATATCGTATAATTATATTTATAAAAAAATTTTATTGTTTAAACTTTTGGTAGATCTTGTTGTTCATATTTTTCTTTAATTCTGAATCTACTCTGATAGACTATAATGATTTTGAGATTGGGTCCAAGGAGAGGGAGAGAGAAGAAGTATGTTTGTTCGAACAAGTTTCCAATATTGCATTGAGTCAGAGCCTTACATTAATATGATTTGTAGATCGCATTCAATTTAATACAGCTTCACAAATTACACAATTTTTCTAAATTATTAATATAAAATTTAAAACTTAGTTTGTATCGCATTTTTGTATTGCATTTAAATTAATAAATATACATAAATTGCGATTATTTAGAACTTATAGCTACTGTGAATAAAATTAACAAATAACTAGTGGAGTGTATAGCATCGTGCCTTAAGGCAAATTGCTGGAACTTTCCGTACCGTAACGAAATGATCGAGGGATATTAAATATTTTAAAATAGATTATTATAAATATTGTAACATTGTCGAATATTTATAAGAATTATATAAACTTAATTATTTGTTTAATGTATATTAGAACATAATTTAAATAAAAATTTGAATTATTTTCGATATACAAAAAAATTTTTTTGAAAAAAAAAATAAAAAAAAATTAAAAAAAAAATTTGAAGCAAAAATTTTTCTTCCAAAATCAGTTATTTTGTTAAACAAAGCAGAAAGTTTTCGGAATCATTCAATCGGACGCTTAGTTCTCTCAAAAACTGC